AAGTTAATCGAATATTTTTTTTTAACTAAAAAAAAATGTAATTAATAACTTTTAATGAATCAGTTTTATTTTAACAATATATTATATAACTATTATAGTAAGTATAAAAAAAAATTAAGTTGGTTTACATAATATATTACAGACTACATCATTACAGACTACATTGATAGTTCTACTTATTTTCCTTGTATTTCTCAATGTATAAATCCTTATATAATTTAACTTGCTCTTATTTAGGTTTTGTTAAACCGATACAAATAGTAATTCAAGCAGTTCTTATTTGACATTATCAAATTAAGAGCTGCTTTCTACAGGGTAAGTCTATTTAAAAATCAAACATCTTGGGATACCTAAATTTTAATAATAAAGTTTCGTTAATGCATTTGTTTGTTTTTAAGATAATGAGTATCTGAACTATTTCAACATACTTTCTTTTCAGTGCATAATCGCAATTTTATTGTTTGTCATTACTTTAGATGTAATGAGTTGTTTACTTTTTTTTTAGTTTTGATGAATCAAACTACGATATGACAAGTATTAAAATTAAAAAAACTAACCTGGACAACGTTTCAGATTCCACTAATACAATTCCAGAGCTGCTGTCAATTGAGTAAGTCTATTTGTTAACAGTTCACATAACCATCATTGCTAATATAACAAGTTTCTACTTCAATTTAAACTCTAAAAATATATTTTGGGAGACACCGTAGTATAACATTATAACTACTCTAGAAATGTTGTTTTTATTGTCAGCAAACCAAACATTGCTGTAAATAAATGGGAGGTCGACGAAGTCGATATTGATTGTTATTTCAAATCGATGATACAAATTGAAGAAAATCAAGGTTTAGCAGTCGTAAAAGACGAATACGTGGACACTCCTTCTACTAGGTAAGACTGTTTTTTATCGCCATTTATATAATTAGAAAAAAAACACAGCTTCAATTTCTTTGCCATTTACTTAACTTAGATAAATGATTCTTAAACTTTTCATATTGTATGATTTGTTTTACATTATTTAACAATTTGTGCCCATAATTACTTGGCACAATACGTAACTTGGCATAACCATCACTATTAATATAACAAGGTTCTATTTCAACTCAAATTTCAAAAATATATTTTGGAAGCACAAAAATACTCATTACTCTACAAATGTTGTTCTTATTTATTGATAGCAAACCAAACACTGTGGCTATTAATAAATGGGATGTCGACGAAATAGATAACCATTGTTACTTCAAATCTACGATACAAATTGAAGAAAATCAAGATATAGCACTTATCAAGGACGAATATGTGAATACTGCTTCTACTTCGCAAGTGCAATTTTATTTTCGTCATTTCGATAATTCCAAAACAAAAAAACTGACACTGCTTTTATCAGCGATGGCTGACTGAATAATATTTTGTCTGTATTGACCACACAATCATTGTTATCATTTTCGGCGAAATAAAAGTATATATTATGTTTTATATATTTATAGGTGAGAACGCAAAATATGAACAACATTTGAACCAATCTGTGCTGTTTTTTTTTAAATATACACAGCATATCTGTAACAATCAGAAAAATGTTCTCAATTTATTAAGATTTTTTTAATCAGTTAATATTAAAAATGAATTTTAAATTATTTTTTCAATAAAAAATAGGTGTTAAGACAAATTCTCAAAACACTTTTTACGAATTCAAACCTGTTTTTGAAATAAATGCTTTTAAATAAAACATTAATACTATCTAATTAATTATTATCTATTTAAAATTAAAATTTTTCTAATAATTATAACATTATAAGTTATGCAAAATTTATATTATGAAACAGTTTTTGTAATTATTAAAAAATAATTATTTTTAGTAGCAAATCTTATTCTTTTCATACATTGTTTTTTTTATGTAAATCTCAGATATAGTTTCAGATAATTGAGAATATTTTACATAAAATGTATAAATTTTCTCATCTCTAAATCGAATTTTTGATTTCATATTTTCTCTTAATGGGATTGCATGCGGTCTGTTTTTAAGGACTTTTGTGTAGACAATATTCAAGAAAAAATTGGGTTTAATAAATGTCGACCATGTTAATCAATGTTTCGGTTAATTTTTATAAGTTACAAGTTATTTTTCTTAATTCATATAATTTTTTCTACGAGTAAAAGTAATTTTTGCTAATTTTAGACCAAAATGTCGACTACTTAGGATGGTCCAATTTCAATTCTGTAAAGAGATATATACTGTATTATATTTCGTATTGTGTTAGCCTACCATTAAATAATGAGTATGTAATTTTAACATTTGATTAGTATGATTTAAAAAAATATATATTTAACCCTTTTGGTGCCAAATTAATTTTTAGAGAACCGCCATCTATTAGAATACTTTTTAAATAGCTTAATGTATAGCAACATATTGTGTAAGTGTTATCGCAAAAAATAATATTAAAAAAAAAGTTGTGCACATTGTAATGTGCCTGGGGACTGGATGTGATTTTATTAAATGGTCTACAATTTCCGAGTGAAATGTACTATAATTAATTTCATCTTACCGTGTTCGGGTTCTCAGTAGAATTTTTACAATGTGGGAAAATGTGAAATTTCGTTACCGTGGAAAACTATACTGATTAAATAACAATTCCGTATTATATTTGTAAAATATTTTTAATCGAAAACCACATTTGACAATTATTTACAATTAAATATTGTTACCGTTTTCAATGGACGCCCCAAAGAAGACAATCGAACCGGTGACACATGTTATTTTCGATATGGATGGAACATTACTAGGTATTTATTATTTTTTTTTTTTTTAAATATTATTGTTGTAGAACTTTGGTGAAATCATAATTTACTCCTAAAATAATCTTTAGTTATTAATACGAATAGTCAATTTACCAAAGTTGTCATACGTTTTACTTTTTAAGGCCTAAAATTAGTTTCGATGATAATTATTATTAAAAAAAAACAATTGTTATAATAGTTTGTTCCTTTTTTTCGACTGAAGGTTTTTAATATGGTATCATCATTTTTTGATCTGGTCTGTTTATGGTTTTATGTCTCTCAGCTGATTTTCTTTTCAATAATCTCCAGAGTAACATCTTTTCAGTTAGCCGATTTCCCCTTTCCCATCCTCACTTCATCCACGCTTCATCATTCCCACCCTCTATCCTTTGTCCAAAAAGCATCAAATATTCGACAAACCTACAGCCATAAGACATAATACTTACGACAAAATTAAAATACATTATTTCGGTCCACCATAATCGCCTTTATCATAGTTCATTTTTTTTTTGTGATATATGAGGCGCTCAGATGCCAAACCGATTAACTCCACTTTTTTCAAATTGCGAATAATAAAAGGATTAAAAAAGTGTATAATTTTCAGTGGCCTAGGTAAGTAACTCCATAGTTGAATTTTTCACCACTAGGGTGCACTAAGAAAATTGACAATTGTACTTGCATACATTGTTTCAAATAACTTTAACTGCCTGTCCTGAAAAATTTCATTATATGGAGTTAAATGGTTTGGCATCTGATCGCCTCAAATGTAGGTATGATAATTTGGCAATTTCACATCGTGTTACAGTTAATAATAGTTACATTAATTATCCGAAACTAACCTAACTGAGATAATATGTTGAAAACTAGTACAAATATCTATAAAAACTATATATTGTATAATGTTTTCTATTTCATACCATAAGAATATGACAATATTTGCACACCACTCCTCTCCAGATCAAATCATGACTATGTCACTGCAAGTAGTGTTGTTACAATACTTGATGGTTTCAGATACCGAAAACATTCACAAAAAAACGTACAGGATCATTGCTCAAGAATTTGGTACGACGTTTTCGCCGGAACTCCGTATGAAAATAATCGGACGTCCAGAACTGGACGGAGCCAAAGAAGTAATAAAAACATTGAAATTAGAAATAAAGCCCGAAGATTATGTACAAAAAGTGAAACTTCTAGAAGAAAACTTATGGACAAAAGTGCCGCTGTTACACGGTAATATTGCAGTCATATTAGTTATTATTTTTGTTCATCCTACTATTCTTCTTTGCCACTTATAAAACAGTACCTACTTATGGTTTGTCCATCATGACTATGAAATACATTTCTCCTAATAAATATACTTAAGTTAAATAAAAAACGCTTAGCGTTGTATCGCAACATCAAATACACTTTTTTGATTAATAATTAAAAATTAAAAATTCACAACTTTTAAATAATAAGGAATTCAGTCTTTCGCCACTAATTATTCTGTTTATCGTCGCAAAAAATATTCTAAAAACGTTAGGCACACCTCAAGACGTTTTATTGTTGTGGTTGTTGGAAAAAGACAATATTTAGCCTCGAGTTTAAAAATACTAGTGGTGAGAAACATGTGTATCATGAATATGTTGTATGGCACTCACTCACACCTAATCTTAACTAAAATATATCAAACTGAATATAATCGGGATACCGCTGATTATAATAAGGGATAAGGTGGAGTGGTAAGATACAAATAGGGATAAAAAGAGATGATGAGGCACATCTAGGTCAGATTTTGAACATACTGACAACTGCAAATGTTAAACTGACTCCATCCCAAAACATGTTAAAACTAAAGAAAAATTAGGAGAGTATTTTTTCATAGTTACAAATCTTTTCGGAGGGAGTCGACTGCGATTTTCTATAAAACAAAATAAAAAGGACCGCGCTAAATTATACATAATACGTGTTATCGATTCAGGAGTACGGGATCTAGTAACGCATTTGCACAGCCAAGGGATTCCCATGGCGGTGGCGACGAGTAGTAGCAAGAAAAGTTACAACAAGAAGACTTCTAGCCACAGGGAACTATTCGGACTGTTCCATCACATAGTCACAAGTCCCAGCGATCCGGAAGTGAAGCGCGGCAAACCGGCACCGGACATTTTTAGAGTGTGCGCTTCTAGGTTCCCGAGGGAGCCCGACGTCTCCGAAGTGCGTTACAGATTAAGGGGGGAGGAGGAGGGGACAAAAACAATAGTCTGCCCAAAAGATTACGCCAGCCGATGCGATAATTTAATTTTAAAGAAATCAATTCGATCCCCTTAAAAATAATATTCATTTCATACCATTTATACCTTCATTTCCATTGCTCGAAACGTCTCTCAAAGTCCTCAGAAGTCAGGTTCCACATCGACCCAGTGCCGCCCATAGTCATGCGAATAGACTAGGACAAGGCAGCTGAATAACCCAACCGCTGTAGGCTTTGATAGATTTTTTTTTTGAGCAATGTTAATGGCGATAGTGCACTAAAACAAATGGAGATGATTTTAAAGGGGATTTAAGATGATTTATAATTTAAAATTTATTGAATATAAAAAAATTCAGTTACCTAACGTATTTTTTGGACAGGCCTACAGGAATTATTATTATAACTAGTGATAAAATCATTTTCCAATAAAAATAGAGTACAAAAACTGATAAAAGCATTGTAAATTCTAATGAATAGTCAATTTCAAAAAGGTATCATGTCATATTTTTTACGATTTTTATTTGCATTTTCATGAACTGCTGCAAAAAAAAAACCAAGTTAGTTATTCCATTAGAAAAAAAACATTGGATCATGAATATGTCTTACGGTACCACCGCCACTTTATCTTTATCCTCCCTTCTCTTATCCTCTCTATTCTCTCCACTCTTCTCTTGATGTCACAAATTCAGGTTAGGTTAGGTCAAACTCACGAAGGAAATTTTCGGCAGACCCTCTAGCCATAAGACATATTATTATTCATGTCAAAAAAGGGACATGTCCATGTTGAGAAGAGGAGGGGAATGACCTTTAAATTTTCGAGCAAGTTTCGAAAAGGCACCCGTTGGGGAGAAAAACTTTTTTTTTTCATTTCCTGTAAAATTTAATTTTAAGAGACATGACACATGACCGGAATTGGCTAATCGTTTGGAAATTTATCCGTACACTACTAATTGTAATTTCCGTTGTACGTACACAGTGCTTGGTGATAGAAGATTCGCCAAACGGAGTGGCGGCGGCCGTCGCAGCCGGCATGCAAGTTGTCATGGTGCCCGACCCGATGATGCCTAGGGAGCTGACCACCGAAGCCACGTTGGTCATAGACTCGATAGAGGACTTTGAACCGGAAATCTTTTCGCTGCCGCCTTACTTTTATCTAAAAGAAACTAAACAACCGATTATTAATGACATATAAATAAAACAAAATCGACGGCTGCATCGATTGCCGGTCGGAACGCAGCTCTGGCCACCGATTTGCCTTCCACTTGTGTTCATAATATCGTTGTGACTTTGCTTTGTCCACTCATTTGCACGGACCTTAATAAATTATCGTGTAAACGCCGAAATCTCCATATTATTTTTGCCGACGAGCCCATTGTCTAGTCCGCAATAGCTACCTAGTCTAAAATATAAAGCAGCTTTGAATAATCGCTTACCGATCATACAATTTGCAAATACAGCAAACTACACGATGCGTATCGTACTTAGACTACTAAACGATCACTTATCGATCCAGGTCATTTCTTGTGAAGTTAAACAAAACCATAATAATGTTAAATGATATCAAGTGAAAGCTATAACTCAATGGTCAGAGCTGTCGACCGGCAATAGGCGACAGTTCTCTGTTCGACTCCCAGTAATATACCTACTAGGGTGGCGCAAAAAAAAAATCAATCTACAACATTGTTAATGGGCTAACATTTAAATATGTTCTATACATAAAATAAGAGACTTGGTGAAAATTTGAGGTAAAAAAAATTGTTTACTGGTCGCTCAACGCGTTTAAAGTAAATTGACCAAAAATTCTCAAAAAATGACTTAAATTATAAAATTTTGGTCAAAAATCATCATTAGTACAATTAAATTGTAGTATTTTTCGCGTTGAGTACAACTGTATGAGTTTTAAAATCCTAAGTTAAAAATTAATTACGTAATTAACAAAAACTCGTAATTAAAAGGTCAATTTTCAATTAAGCTTAAAGTAACTAAAAAAAATTTTTTTTTTAATTTTTAATACTTTATTTTATTGAACGTTATGTATGTTTCTAGAGAAAAAAAATGTTTTCACTAATGTTAAAAACTTATACCTTTTTTTGTCATTTTTTCGTGCACCAAAACGTTTTACTGAAAAATGTGTCAAATAATAAAATACTTATCGTTATGAATTTCAGCTTTATGAAATTATTTCACAGTTTGTGAAAATCAATTTAAAAAAAACATCCACGGGATGATTTTAAAGAACTTTTAGAACTTTGTTTATTGTGCATTGGAAAACTACACACAGAAAAATTACGTTTCCGATCTCCAGGAGTGTTTCATAGAGCACGATGGATGGCAAAAATTATTTATTGCTTAAAAATGTATATGTTTCAAAAACAATTTAAATTGAAAGGTATTCAGCAGTTCAATTTGTTTATTTTAAGAGTTTATATTAAATAGGTATTGGTTTACTAGTTCTTGTGCTAATAAAGCACCTAAAAATGATCTAAATCTATTAGTAGCATATATTATTTTTACTTTTCTCTTTGTCCGTTAAAATATTTAGTATTTGTTAGAAAACAGATTTCATTACATTAGATGACATTATCATAATTTTAATAATAGATGATAAAACTTAAAATAAATAGTATTTATCGTATAATTATATATTGATGCTTTGTGTGTTATGATATTGTCTTGTTTGTCGTGTGTGTGTTGTCTAATTATTCTAAACTCTAGTCTATATTTGTAATAAAGTAAGTTAATAGCTTGATTATCTAACTTGTAAAGATTGATTCTTTACTCATTCTTTTATTATACGGTGATTCTTATTTTCATTCCACTTAGTACTCTGCTAAAAACATTTTTTTAATAATAATGTATATATATATATACATTATTATTTATTTCCATACTAAAGTATCTAGTTGATATTATACAAGAATGTATTAGTAATATGGCAATTAATAATTTTTTATTAATATTAATACAAATACTTATTATATAATCGTTAAATTTAACTTATTTTTAAATATTTTAATAATTATGTACATCAATAATGCGTTTCTTTTAATATTCTTTACTTATAATGAACTTTCAGACTTATAACTATTATATTTCCATTATACATATTACATTATAAATCATAACTTTATTATGATGGTACTAGCATTAAGGGTTTTTACTATAATTATTGTCTTACTCAACTGTCAGACTTGTGTCTTTTGCATACATTTTCTTTGAGTTTATATTAACATTGTCTTATGGAAATGTATGTATTATATTTTTAACTAGCTAAAAAAAGGTATTATTGTCAAGCTGAGAAATCAGTTACGGTAACATCATACCTACCTATTAAAGTAATATTGTAAACTAAATTAATCACTAGCATTTAAGTGAATGATATGTTCTGTCAAGTGTTTAACCTCCACGTACTCGCATACACGTCATTAACACTGCGACTTATGATACTTATAGTACTTTTTAAATTCAGAAATTATGTTGGTGGTGTAAATATTGCTGAGCGACCATCAACGAGATTTTTTAAGACACGAGTGCTTGGTGGTTAAATATAAATATCTAAGTATCGAAATGTTTTTGATTTTGTCACTTCATGTAATAAATACTATTCGTCGTTATTTTCATTCTACCACTCTTAAGGCTTATCACTTATCATATTTAGTTTTACTGATAAGTATAATAACTGTTATCATCTCAATTTAACGGTATCAATGAAATATTGTGATTTTTATCATATAAATATTAACTGGGAATATAAAATAATTTTGAACGATGTATAAAGTTTAAATTCGTAGGTAGTGTTTTTAAACATTTTAATACACATTATTTTTTTTATCTAAAAGAGAACACATTATATTTTATGTTATATTGTGCATCTACCGTCATTTGCCGAGAGCCAAAAACCTGAAGTACAAATTACAATATCAATAATGACGATGCAGGAAGAAGAAAACTTATGGTAAGAAAACGATCGGGCTTAGCGGGTTGAACTTGATTTTTGCGGAAACGTTTAATTCGCTAGCCGAGTTTACTTTACTTGACCATTTGTTGTGTTTTTGCCGCAGGAACTCTATGTTGATCTCGCTAAAGAAAAAGGGAGGAATGCGTTTACCTACTGACAAATCTATGATTATCATTGGTAAGTAACAATAACACTGTTAGGCTCGTTTCACACGAGCCACTTTTTGTGCTGCCACAGAGAAGACACTGTGGCGCCACTGTTAAAAATATATTGTTTTGAATTGATGGTTATACATGATGTCGCACCACAAACGCGTCTTGGTGGTCGGTACCCGCTAGAAATTGCGCCGCAGAAAGTGGCTCGTGTGAAACGAGCCTTATGTATGGTATTGTTGGCCGTTTTAAAATTTAAAGTTTCTTCAGATAAGTTAATAATTGTTAGTCTCTCTTTATTTTTTTATTTTTAGGCGACAAAGAATGTGGTAAAACTACTCTTGTAGCTAAACTGCAAGGAATCGATGACTTAACCAAAGGTATCGGTTTAGAGTATGCCTACATTGATATAAGAGATGAATATAAAGAAGGTAATTGTTTTTGTTATTGGTTGATAGTTTTTATTTTTGATAATAATATTCGTATTGATAAATTATACCTATATATTTTATTAGCCTTCATAAAAATATATGTAGAAGAAACTTGACTACCTATTGAATACTTTTAACTATTTAGATACTTATTTTAACATACATAATTGATATTTTTGATTTCAGATCACACCAAACTTAATGTATGGGTTCTAGATGGAAATCCTAAGTATTCGTTTTTATTGAAATTCGCCTTAACCCAGAAACAGTTCAAAAACACATTAATAATGTTTGTGGTGTCCATGAAAACACCTTGGAACATTATGGACCAATTGGAAAGTTGTCGCCCAACTTGTTGCAAGATTATATTGACAATCTTTCAATTCCCAGCGAGGAACTTATGGAGTACCGTCAACAATGTAAATATACATACTATATATATATATATAAACAATTTAACTTATTAATAATTACTACTTGCTTTTTAGACACACAATAATTTATTAAATATACATTTACTTGTTTTAAGGTATAAAAAAGTGGAATGAATACATTGAAGAAAATGTTGGCGATAAAAATGGCTATTGGGAACATGCTCTCGGGGATGGAGTGCTTACAAGGAACCTTGGCCTTGATGTCATAGTTGTTGTAACAATGGTGAGTTAAATTTAATTATTTATGCTGGGTTTTGGTTCTCTTTGTCTTATGTGTATATTTTGGTTTTTAGACCGACTATATCAGTGTGTTAGAAAAAGAAAACGACTACAAAGACGAACATTTTGATTTTATACAACAAACGGTTAGCATCGCTCTTTTATACGTCAGCTAAGGAAGACAAAAACTGTGATTTACTATATAGGCTTTTAACTCATAAGATTTACAATTTTCCATTTAAAACGCCACCACTAATTGTCGAGAAAGACGCTGTATTTATGTGAGTTACTTCAAAAGTTTAACCTTCATTAACGGTATAGAAATTAAATTACTTCACAGTTACATTGGACGTTTTGTGATTTCAGACCGTCTGGCTGGGACAGTATGAAAAAAATCAGTATTCTCTACGACAATATGCAATCAATGAGACCGGATGAGTTTTACAATTCAGTCATCAGCAAAGTAGTCACGAGAAAGGTATGTTTATTTAGGAAAACAAATGATTTTTTAATGCTTTGTTAATTTTTACGTTTACAGACGTTTACCAAAGACCACGAGGTCCAAGCAGAAGACGAACAAAATATTTTGAACAAACAGTTGGGTCTGTTGAACCAAAGTGCGAACCAACAATCCGCGATTGGTATTCCCAGACAGGACTCGGTGATGAGATCTCTTACGGGGGTGTCCAAGCCAGGAGAGAGACGCGTGTCACTGACGAGTCAGGGTCAAGGTTCGCCAACTAAAAAGGTGCGCTATTAAAATTAAAATTATAATTGTACACTTAATCATCAGCTAAACTATACCGTGTATTTTTAATGTAGATTGATCCGGTCAAGACGAACAATACAGCCACACCGGGCGAGGGTGTTTTAGCAAACTTTTTCAATTCCCTTTTACACAAAAAGTCCAATCAGAGTCCGGTCATGTCGAAGTCTCCAGGTATCAACATTAGAAAACTTTAATTCTATTATTATCTGCGACTCGTTTTTTTCGTTAG